CTTTAATCTCTGTAATGACTCCCACATTGCCCAAGCATGAGGCCATTCAAAGATTCTTAGTAAAGTATGTTCAGTTATTTGAACATACTTTAATAAGTATGTTTGCACACCATTACTATATAGATCATCATTATGTAGACTAAAAACAAAGCAAAACAATGATCTTCATATAGCCCACTGATTGCTCAAAGCCGTATCTAACATGTCATATCAGCACTCACTAAACAGATTCAGTGCATGAAATAGTAAAAGAACATAATCCACATGTGTGTTGGTCCATGCAATGGTGAAACCTAGAGTCATTGTCATCACTGATCTGGCTCTGAAATCAGAGTGCACATTTTCTGTCGTCAAGAAGGAAAAAGAAGTTATTTCCAAAATTGCACAAGTAGGAAAATGGGACCCAAAAAAGCAAGTCAGGCATACTGAGTCTGAAGACACTCAAAGTACACAGCTCAGAAAAAAAGAACTGATTCAAATCCCAGTCTTCATATAAGGTCCTAGGAATCGCAATAAAATTATCTGTATCTCATTTTTCTCAACGTTGAGTCCATTGATAGAAAGCAACATGTGATTGAAGATTAATGAACAATGACTAAAACAAAGCAACAACAAAACTAAAATTAAACACTATTATCACACTTTTGAGATGACTACTTCCCTAAAAATATTAGAGAACATGTAAGGATATTGGAATGTTTTTATGTAATTAAAGCATTATAAAATGGTGTTTTTGATATAGAAAGCAGTATGGTGGTTCCTAAAAAAATTTAAATATATAATTAGCACATGATTCAACAACCTCACATCTTCCACTTGTGTCTACAAATCCAAAACTTGAAAGCAGGGTTTCAAAGATTCATTTTCATATCTATGTCCATAGAAGCCAGAAGGTGAAAACAAGCAAAGAGTTCATGCAGATGAAGTAGATACCATTCAGTTCTTGAAAGGAAGGAAATATCAATACTGTTATGACCCAGGTGAAACCTACAACATTACGTTAAGTAAGTGAGACAAGCCAGAATGACAAACACTGTCTTCAGAAACTAGTATAGTCAGATGCATAAAGTAGTGTGGTATTGCCAGGAGATACAGTGGGGGAATGGAGAGTTGATATTAATGGGTTACAATCTCACCCTAGCCAGTGAAAGACTTAGAGAGACTGGATGTACAACAGTGTGGTCTTACAAAGCTGAACTGTACACTCAACATGATACACTGATGTGTCTTATGCTATATATGTCTTAGCACAATGATTTGGAAACAAACACAACAGTAACAGCATCTCATAATGATGAGATATGTCCACCAGAGGTCACCCTCACTCAGGGCCGTGACTGCATCCATTCCTGCCCAATAGCCAAAGTCTCTTCATAACAAAATTCTTCAGGTGTTGCTTAGATCATGCTCTTAATTGTATCTAGAGACAATAACCAGGTAACAAGGGAGGAAACTCAGTAACTTCAGAAAAGGCTGTTCTTCTCAGAACTGTCTCCTTCAGAAAAGGAGCACCCAGTTTAGAAGTCAAAAACTTGGGTAAAAAAAAAAAAACAATGAAATAAGAATGTTAATATGCACACATTTTTATTACAGTAATTAGAGAAGTGGACAGTGCAGTTAACATTTTTCAAAAGCATTTTTAATAACAAGTGATTTTCAGAAAAGAAAGTATGAGGTTAGAGAATTCCAAACAGAAGAGCCTGGATAATCAGTAAAGCAAGACATTTCTAATGAGTGGAAGAGTGAGCTAATAAGATGCCAGGAGATGGGGGTCCACATGCTGGCCAGGACTTTAGGATCCTTGCTTCCTGCTTGTAAGGGCTTGTAATGAGATTGTATGACTAATATTAGTTTCTTGGGCACATTATAACACAGGGAGGCAACAAATGTACAAGTCTGATTCTTAGGATGTCAGTTTTGGAGAGAACACTGGAAGGATTTGAAGTTACATTAACTAAAAGAGATATAGAGATTGTGAAATGAGAATCTGGGAGAACAGACAGTAATCTCTACTAGAAGAAAACTGTGCTGAAAGGAATGAGAGAAATAACATGTTAGAGGGCAGCAGTGATAAACATGAAAGATAACAATTCTCTCTTCTCATGGCTCCCTAAAATAATCAACCCTTAAACTTTAGAATGTGTGAATATGTTACCCTACACTGCAAAAGGAAACTTAATTTTTTCTGTAACTGTAATTTAAGTTGATAAAAGATAGCAATAAAATTGTATAGGTTTTTTTTTCAGAAGACTTACATTGACTAAAAATTACAATGACATAAGCTGATTAGGAAGAGAGAATATGAAAGTATACACTCAAAATGACTATGAGCAAGTAAAGATGATTTGGGCAGAAAGATAAGAAAATATGTTGCCATATTCACAGTCAGAGTATGTTCGTAGTTGTTTTCTTTTATAGTTTATGATTTTATTACATCAAGCAATATTACTATTAAAAGTTTAATTAAACGCCTTGATTGGGATGCCATTCTACTTGCTTCTGTAACTGAATGACTTCGATCTGTAAAGAGGACTGTTACTGTTGTTTCCCCTTTCTTCACAGCCCCCATGGCTTTAATCAGTAAAAGCTTACAGCTAATTGATTTCCTACTTCCTCTTTCTTTACACCAAGCTCATGTTCTTACCTTCAGCATAGTCCTTATTGCTACTCTATTTCTGTTCTTCTATTTCACCCCGGGATGGTGGTTCTGAAACATAATTCTTTACCCTGTAATATGACTAGTAAACAAAGCAGGAAAAGAGCTGTCTGGGTAGCAAAAGGAAACTCAGAATTTTGTCAAGGCAGTGTCTAATATTGACACCTACAAAGGGCTTTCTGTATGAAAGGAAATCATCTCGCAAAAGAAACAGAGATGAGATCTGTGACATCACACAGAAGAAGAACAGGAACGATGACTATTAAGTTCTAGCAGGAGAAAGATAGAGCTCTGCGTCATCAAACTACATTAGGTCCTCAAGGAAATCTGTAAAATTAAGTCTATAAAAGCTGACCCAGCTGGTTAATTAGCACACTGCACACCAGATTATGTTGTCTAGTTGGAGATTTTCTTATATTCTAAGCTACATCTTAATAAGTCAAACCAATTACATTACCAAGGATTTGATGACTGTACTCATATGAACTCACCAGGCTGCTAACTTGCTTTTACAGACAGGCAGGATGGCTGTTGTTGTTCCATGCCTCATTTCTCAGTCCTGCATGGTAAAGGTCCCACAGTGAACTGCTTCCAGAGCTTCTAATTCAGGGAATGCTGTGCTCAGTCCCAGCTACTACTAGCCAAAGGAAGTGATTCATTTATGAAGGTTGTAATTGTAGGCTATGAAACAGCTGGCCATGGGCTCTTTCTCCTGGCCTGAGCTCCTTTACAACATCTGCTAGTATGAGCAGAGTCAAGCACTAACATTCTCTTGCAGATATGCTCCTTGACAGGGGAAAAAATGTTATGTTTCAGAGACTGTGAGGTTCCACCAGAATAATAAGCAAGGCATCAGATGGTGAAGGCCACTTGCTTATACTGAAGACTTGTGATGAAGCTTTTTAATTCAACAAGACCTGTGTCTCACCCTAGAAAAGACAGTTTCTAATTAATTTTCCAACATTCCAAGTATATGAGGATGAGAGTGCTCTTATGTTGCTCTGGCTATCCATGTTCATTTCATTATAGAGCCAGGATTGCATATTCTCTGTATCTGTGTGTCTCTCTGTCACACAAACACACATACATAAAAAAACACACACAAGAAAAGGATACATCTTTAAAGATGTATGTATGTATGTGTACCACATGCCTACTTGGTACCCAAGTAGGCCAGAAGAGGGTATTGACCCTCTGGAACTAGGGCTACAGGCAGTTGTGAGCCACCACCATGTTCATCTAGCAATCGAAACCATGTCCTGTATCAGAGCAGCCAATGCTCTCAACTGTTGCACCATCTCTCCAGTCATGGCATTTTTTTCATTTTTACCACATGTCTACTAGCTTACTTATATTTTTCCATGCCATTTATTGGCTAAAACTGTTCCTACCCTTTACCTTTCTAGTTTCAAAATCTTTTCAACTGTTTCCCTAAAACTCAAGCAAGCCTCTTTCATGAACTCTGTCTTGCCTGTTTCCAATGAGATGTTCTAAAAATATAAAGCCTATTTTACATAGTTGTCCAGAAAGGTCTTTGGGTCCACCAGAATGACTAAATTCTAATCTCAATTCCACCATGTATTTATCATATGATCTTAGGTATTTAAGTATTTTTTGTACCATTGTTTCCATCTGTCAGCTCCGCTCTGGTGCTTTCGTATCTAGCCCATGATTGTCATGCAGATTAAACTAAGGCACCATAAAGCACCTTGAAAACTGCTGTATATATTATAAAAATATTTCTTACGCCAAGTTGTATCCTTTCTTTCAGAAAGGATAGTCTCTGTCTGGCTGAAATGCATTTTTCTCTTTTCACTTGTTAAAAGTGTTCTCATCTTTAAAAATCATTTCTTTTCTCTAGTCCCACACTCAGCTCTAGCCAGATTATTTACACTGTATTAAGGCACCTACCTCTTAGTATTTTCTTCCTCTCCTAATTTGACCAGAGCTGAGGGAGGGGTTAGGGAAGGAAGGGAATGGATGTTCAGTGAGCCATATTATAAACCCAAACCCTGAACTAAATACCTTTAGTTAACAGCACCTTTCTTCTTGTCAGTTGCTATAGAAATTTTTGTTTGGGTTTTACTTGATTACCCTGTTGTAGAATTATACCATTCCTTGCTATTAACACTGCCTTACCTAGTCCTCTGTTAGATCAGTTACATAGGGATGTAACTAATGACTAAGTTCCACTTCCATGGTCTCCTGTTGCACAGAGTTCTTGATATGAATAGACAGTACAGCACAATTGGGAGATGTTAAGTAGAAGAACTGCATAAGCACCGAAACTGTGTGTGAATTTTTAATTAGTTTACAATTTAAGGATCTAACAGACATCCATGTGTATGGTAAAAAAGGCTTTTATTAACATTTTCTTTGAAGATGAATTTCAAATACCAGTGGTCCTCTTCAACCGTAGAAATGTTTAGCTTAGCTAAATGTCAATAAAAGGAAATTTCCAAGCCAATTGTTATTGCGTATTGTAGTCTTTATTCTTGTTGTTGGTCATGGTACCACATGCCTCAGTTCCAGTAGGACAGCATATTGATGATGGTGTGATTGACAGGATAGATAAGACATGAGTACTCAAACACAAAAATGCTAGAGTCAGTGAGATGGCTGAGTTTGATCACTGAGGTTGATCACTGGAACCCATACTGTGGAAAGAGAGAATTGACTTTCATAAGTTGTCCTCTGGCACACACACACACACACACAGTAACACATACACTATAATAGCACACGTAGAAAGAGAGAGAGACAGAGACAGAGGTAGAGACACTAAATAAATAAGTAAATTGAATTAAATTTTAAAAGGAATAAAAGTGTTAGGCTATGAGCCAATACACATAAGGCTCTGATGTTGGACATTTAGTAATACACCATATCTTTATGTGCATAAACTTTCTCTTCTGCAAAATTAAAATCTTAGTCTTTTCTAGTCTTAATGTTATACAGGGACTAAATCAGTCAAAGAATGATCTAACTAAACTAATATCAGGCCTTTTAAATAATGTAAATCCATGGTGATTTGCATTGAGTAGCACAGTTAAGAACATAATACAATTCTCTAATTCCAGCTATCTTTGCCAGTCTCTTTATCGATAAAGTAAGGAAAATAAAAAACACTTGCTATTTACCATGTGATAAATATCCTGGAGCTTTCCAGGTAGGGTAGGCCTCAGAGATCACCTGTCTCTTCCTTTCCAGCATTTACATGTGTGCCTGGCTTTTTGACTTGAGTTCTGGAGGATTCAACTCAGCCCAATATGCTTGAAGGCAAGCACTTTACTCATCTTTATGGCCTTATTAAATATTTTCTTGACTTTATACCCTAGGAGTGTGAGGGAAAGCATATGTATAAAACTAAAATATTAAGTGTGTATAAGCTTCCCGTGTTGGCTACTGGCAGGTAGTTAAGTAACCACTCAAAAAGGCTATTTTAATTACTCTCTAAAACACAAAACCATCTATTCCACATGAGCAATTATTTGTGGAGAAATATTTTCAGTATTTGTGGAAGGCTGAGATCACAACTAATCATGTCTTTCCTGAGGATCTCCTCCAAACAGAGTTAATAAACATATGTGCTGTTCCATTCAAACGCTGCTAATCTCTACAATAAATATTCATCTTCCTGTTTGTGAAACACAAATGTAATTAAGTTTCCTGGGTGATTTGGAACACCCATGATTCCCTTCATTGTTTTATCACTCTCTGTTCAATCCCATAGTTAAGTGATACCTCATTCTCAAAGGTGCTTCTCTTCACAGCCCTGGGGTATAATCTTAGAGAATATATTTAAAATGCAAAAAAATTTTTAGTCCTGACTTTGGTCAAATGATAAGTGATACAATGAAAGAAGTAAATCAAACTTACATATCGCCAATTGGGACAATTAGCAATAATTACTAGTGTTGTACAAAAGAATGTATTTTAAAACTCTTCAAAGAAATATGTGTGTAGAGGATTCCAAATGAGTTTTAAGAATTTGACTTTGACCTGAATAAATTGTTGCAAGAATAGTAAGAAATGCCAGAATTTTAATACTTCATGTAGCATAATTACATATGAAAAGTATAGCCGAGAATTTTGTTTAGAGTTTTTTAATAGGTCTGAATTATCCTGGGCAGTGAATTATATCATCTTCGGAGATCAATAACCCACCTCAAACTTTAAGACTAGGTTCTTCTTTCAAGCCATGGATATAATGAGATGACACAGCAAATCGCCTAAGGAAAAGGACTGCACTAAGAAAAGGAAAGTCATATCAACTAAATGCCAATGTCATTAACATTTGTTAGGGATCAGAGGAGGCACCATAGCAGCCTTGTAAGGGCATCTAATAAATAGATACCGATCATCCAAGTGCTCTATCCTGGGAGATAAAAGAGTTGCAGAGTACAAAGGGATAAAAGGTAGTTATTTTTGGAGAATGTGTTGTTATTTACACATACTTTGGAAAAGATACTTTCTACCAATTTCTGATAAATATTTGCTATATTTATAGATTTAATGTATGTGCTATTTTCAAGTTGCATGCTTTAATTTGTTTCCAGGTTTATTTTGTTGAAATGTTTCATCTGCCAGCCTCTTTGCAATGTACAATTGTCTTTTACATCTGAGACTGCCATTCCCAAAGAGGCAGAGATCTCAAGAGGCAATGCTTACCTATGAAAGACACTTGCTAGTTGTTTTTATGATCATAGGATCCAACTTACATGTAAGACTGAAACCAATTCAATTGCTTTCCACTGGTATGTCTGTTCATTTGTGCTGCAGATTGAAATAGTCAAGGAAAAATGATTGGGCTTCAGATTAGGCATCTGTTATCTTGTGAATAAGCACTCATCTTTAAATATATTTTACATAATGGCTTTTATATGATGTTTTAAAATTTATCACCCAAATGAAGGATCATTTGATATACACAGGTGGCTAACATTAAGGTGATATTTTGAAGCAGAAGCAGACATAATTTATTGTGCAACATAAAATCATCTTGCTCCTGTTGATCAGCGTCATCTAGGGCTGTAGAAAGTGGTTCCAACCTTTTGTTTTTCTCTCGTAATTCAACGAATTAAAAGACAAGAAAATTACTAGCCACATCGTCCAGCCAACTTTATTGAAAGAAAAGCACATGCACATCACACACCATAATGTGCAAAGAGCAGGCGCCCTTTGTGGGGACAGGAACCCAAGCAATATCTAAGCCAGACTGAATTCTGGGTTCTTACGTGTTTGAGGCATGGGATATATCTCCTTTCTTACTCCAGTCTGGCTGGTTGGTAATAATTTGGACAAAGACGGGAAGTTGATTGGTTTCAACTGCAGGAGATTTGAAAGTTTCATAAAAGTCAGTGTGTCTCTTCCACATAACCTTGGATAAAAGCCCACCAAGACTTACCTGTATATTACACAGTTTTTTTTCACCTATAGGTCCAAGTAGAGTCTATCACAGGTATAAGGAGAGAACATCAAATCATCAAGTCAAAGACTCCTTGGTAGGTGTTTCAGTTTTTGGCATGCCAGAACCTCCAGAACTGAGATGTCTGGAGCCCTTTGCAGGAACATCTCCATTGTACTGTAGAGTATCAGTTGGTGAGAAAGTTGGTTCTGGGAAAGAAGTAACACATTCAAAGTAAATAACATAAGATACAGTGTGTGGGGGAGGGGGGGTAAATGCACAGGTGTACGTACATGCCCCAATGCTCACATGTGAAAGCAAGAGGAGGATGTCGGGTATTGTGGTAGTTTGAAAGAAAATGGCCCCCATGTGGCAGGAGGTGTGACTTTGTTGGAGTAGGTATGGTTTTGTTAGAGGAAGTGTGTTACTATGGAGATGGGCTTTGAGGCCTCATATATGCTCAAGTCATACCCACTGTTCAGACCACTTCCTGGTGCCTGTGAGTCAAGATGTAAGAACACTGAGCTCCTTCTCAAGCACCATGTCTGCCTGCAGGGTGCCTTGCTTCCTTCCTCTCATGATGACAGTGGGCTAAACCTCTGAAAATGTAAGCCATTCCCAGTTAAATGGTTTTCTTTTATAAGAGTTTCTGTGGTCATGGTGTCTCTTCCCAGCCCTAAAAACAACTAAGACAGAAGTAGATACCAGGGACTGGGGACCTGTTACAGTTTTCCGGCACACGTACTCACGGTAATAGGCAAGTCCACCCCCTCCCCCACACACATACATCATGCCCACCCATACTCCCTTAACTGCAAAGCCCTATTGCTATCCTCTCATCGGGATGTCCTATATATTTCCTCATTCATCTTTATTTGAATAGCTCCCTTTTAATTGATTTAAAAACCCAAAGGTACTACTCACCCAACCCCTTTTGGTCTTTTAGTACCATGAGGATTCATCATTATGAGAATCAAAGTGTAATTTCACTTCAAAAGAGGTAATTATTAACATTGGAGTTACTTCAGTGTGGTCCCCACCAACTAATCAAATACTTCTCACCTTTTTTGGTGTTTATCATCTACCAATCTGTAAAGGATAACCCTAATGGAAACTGAGAAAAAAACATTGCAGCTTAACAATCAATATTAAAATGAATTCTGTTTGCCTTTCAAAATAATAAATAGGAAGGTACAACTGAATTTATTAATCAACAACTAATATTGCAGATTATATGAACAGTATAATTTTTCTCCTGTTACAGAAATCTGACAAAATGATTATGACTTAGCACAATCATTTGCCTGATCTGACTGTCACTAGGCTGCAAAAGTAACTTCCCTAGGTACTAGTACATGTGTGCAAAGATCACCTGGGTACTAAGGTATCACACGTCCAGTAAAAGCCAGACATCATCACAAACTCTGCTCTAGGAATCAGGCATAAACACACATTCGACTCAGGTTCTCAGTGCAGGCAATTCACATAGAAAAAAACGGGGAATTTGAAAATGGAAAGCCTTTAGTTACATTTTGACCAATTTTTCTCTATTACCTGATAATTATTTAATAGTGGAGAGGTTTGCATTATAACTTACATAAAAAGGGGGAACTGATGCTCATTCTGTAACTTGTAATAATGACTAAGTAGTTTCTAAATGGCTGTCTATAATATAATGAGAAGGGACAAAGAAAGAGAAAGAGAACAGGAATACAGAGAAACTATGACATTTTGCCACAAATAATTGTCATATCATATTGTCAATCATCTCCTGATTAGATACAAACTAGAAAAGGAAAAAATGTAAGAAATAATACTTTTCTGATAGAAATGAAGATAAGATGGAAATTTCATAATCCTATTGATAATTGAGCATCAGCTTCATTGCCTAATGCCTTTTGGGGGGTAACAACAGAGAATGAGCATTTACCAATTGAAACCCAGCTAAGGAAAGATTGTATGCACCTTACACAAGAATGTAAAATGCATGAATCTCTCAGAAATATAGGAATAATAAATGTAGGAAAAGCCTCTTCCCTAAAATCCAGTCCTTTCCTCTATTTAGAATATTTTTAGGGAGGGCAAGGAAAGGAATCTCCTCTCTATTGTCCTCTGCCAAATGTCAAAGTGTGCGGTTACCTTATTTGCAGTAGAAAAGAAATATACTTGTAACCTATACTTAAAAAAACACATAAAGCCCACACATATTTTTCTCCATGATAACCAGTTTCAAGGAAGCATAGCTAAAGCTACAACAGGTTTTGAGGTTAGCTCAATGCATGTTAATGCTATCATACCACAAGTGCATTACCACTTGACTTACAAAAAAAAGACATGTTATGGTTTGTGGTCCTCAGATATAAGAAAGGTGAACAAACATGCCTTCAATATTTTCTTTGTGTTTATGTGTGATTATAGGTTATATTTTTATCAGACCATTTCACTTTGTCTCTCTTAACCAGTTTTAGAAAACTTAATTATTGGTGTTTGTTTCAATTTTTTAAAATTCTCTAGATAATTTTAGAGTTAAAGTTGTTAATGACAAGTTTGATTAATAGGAATTTTCACATTGGTCAATTTTTTATCTTTATTTTATTTTACCAATTCCAGTTCCCTCTCCCTCCCATCCTCCCACTCCCCCCCACCATCTCCCCATCCCACCCCCCTATTCACTACCCAGGGAGGGTGAGGCCTCCCATGAGGGATCATCAAAGTCTTCACATCATTTGTGGAAGGACCTAGGCCCTTCCCTGTGTATCTAGGCTGATAGAGTATCCCTCCACAGGAAATGGGCTCCCAAAGCCCATTCATGCACTAGGGACAAATACTGGTTCCACTGGCAGAGACCCCATAGATGGCCCAAGTCCCCCCACGTGATACCCACATTCAGGAGGCCTGGTTCAGTCCTATACTGGTTCCACAGCTGTCAATCTGGAGTCCATGAGCTCCCACTTGCTCAGGTCAGCTGTTCTGTGGATCTCCCCAGCATGGTCTTGACCCCTTTGGCTCACCACTCCATCCTCTTTACAACTGGATTCCAGGAGTTCAGTCAGTGTTTAGCTGTGAATCTCTGCTTCTGTTTCCATCAGCTACGGGATGAAGGCTCTATGGTGGCATTTAAAATAGTCATTAGTCTCATAGGGGAGGGCATTTAAGGTAGCCTCTCCCCTATTGCTTAGATTCTTAGCTGGGATCATCCTTGTAGATTCCTGGAAATTTCCCTAGTTCCAGGTTTCTCGTTAAGCGCATAACATCTCCCTCTACTAAAGTATCCCTTTCCTTGCTCTCATCTGTTCTTCCCCAAACTCTACCTTCCTGATCCCTTCTGCTCCCCATCCCCTTTTCCCCTCCTCTTTCTCCTACCTCCCTCCTCCTCCCCCTGGACTCACAATTTACTCAGATCTTGTCCTTTTCCCCTTGGAGGGGGGCATTCCATGTATGTCTTTCTCAGGGTCCTCCTTGTTTTCTAGCTTCTCTAGGGTTTGTGGATTGTAGGCTGGTTATCCTTTGCTCTATGTCTAATGTCCACTTATAAGTGAGTACATACCATGTTTGTCTTTCTGTGTCTGGGTTACCTCACTCAGGATGGTTTCTTCTAATTCTATCCATTTGCCTGTGAATTCCAAGATGTCATTGTTTTTGAATGCTGAGGAAAAAAAAACATAACAGGGCAGTTAAATGGTAAATCTTGCTAACTGCTGGAATGAGAGTGTGGGAGAAGAGGAATAAAGTCATGTCTTTCTGAATTAGTGGCCAAAAAAGTAGAACAGTTCAGCAGCTGAGTCAGCAAGGATCTGTAAACAGCTGCATGATGGAGGGAGCTCTGGAGAGTACACTATCCAATTAAGCAGATAATTATTACTCCCATCTCCTTAGCATGTGTTCAGGTGAATCAGCCTTCCTGAAGGGTAGTCTTCGACCAGGTGATTGACAAGCCCAGTTGGATCGATTAACTCTTAAGGGAGGAGACAGTAGTATGTAATGCTTTGGGCAGTTTAGAATGTTACTGATTCCTTCTTTTGATCAGAAGGCCACTTTCACTAAATGAACTCAATAAAGTGGATATCTCCACTTTTTCAAATAGCATTTTAAATTCTTTCTCTGGCAGTAGGAAAGGAAAGCTTATGACTCCCTTTCTAGTGTTACCATGGAAACAGGAAGTGTCCAAAGCTGATAATGAAAGAGAAAGCTACCCTCAGTGACCTCCAAGTTTGCTGATATCTGTCTAGCTACCTAACAGAGTCAGGAAGAACCAAAATTCAAGTCATCCTTGACTGCATAACACCTTCCTAAAAAAAAATATCCTGTGTATGTGTGTGTGTGTGTGTGCGTATGTGTGTTCTGCCCATCGATATATATTCAATTATTATTTCTAAAACATAATCTTGGGTCAAATGTCTTGAAAAATCAACAGCAATAGCAAAACTGAGTTATTTAGATTTGTGAATGCAAGGAATCTTCCTATCACTGTAGTCTATAAATAATTTGTTTAGATAACAAGAAGATTCCGTTTATGTGTCTTTTATTTCCCTTATTTATTATTTAATATTGTGTTTAATACTTGAAAGCTACCCTGTGGGAACTGATGTGTCCTTGAGGATGATAGTGGCCCTCTTGTCTCAGACAGGCTACAGCTTGGAGATCTAGGGTGGTGGAAGTCAACACCCATCAAATCCACCCAAGGTCAGTCAGTGTTCTCCAGGTTCCTGTTTCTCAAAGTCGAAGAATGAAATTCATGAACCACAAAAGCGTAAGTTTCAGAAGGAAGTTTTATGTAGGATTTTAGGTGACCATCTAAGAGAAAAAAGGCAGATCTCCTGTATAGCATGAATGGGTTCCTGGATATGGAATACCGCTGAGCTCTTGGCCTTGAATCCTTTCATGGGACTTAAGGTAGAACCTACAGTGAGATACAGTGAGTGAGGGATGTGTTGATCATATTCTTGATCCACTCAGAATGGCTCTAGGTGCCTCTTGGTTAAACTTGTTTCTCACAAGTAGTTTCCAGGTAGGGATGTTTATTCAGGGGAAAAAAAGTAAAAACCAGACCTAATTTCTCACAACTCGGACTTGCAACAAGGGCAAGACTACCCAGAAGACCAAAGACATTTCTGGCTTCTAGATGAAGACAAGAATCAAAAACCACTTCCTTTTTGAGTACCCAGCTTAAAACTATCTGCCCAGTTTCTGTTTGCTGCTCTCATCAAGTGGGGGAAGTTGAGACCAAATATCCTTACCTGAAGCACTCATTCCTAAGTTCCTCAGAGCATGATGCTCCAAGAGAGAATCCCAGAAACGGTCCTCCACCAACTTTGTATCTTTCTGTCTCCAAGTTATCATTTTGTCTCCTAAAATGAGCCATAGAAATTCAACCTTTCTTCCTCAAAACAAGACATGCAGTTTTAAATGAGAATTTGTTATGATTTTTTTTGTTAATCTGTCTTGTGACCCTTTTGATAGACAGGAAACGGATCATCCACATTTCTACCCCTATATAGGAAAGACCTGAGTTGGCTTTTATATACACATTCATATGAGTAATTGCATTAGGAATCTGATAACAATTTTTGAGCTTCTTAGTATGGTTTTGGGTTAACCAGCATGAAAATTTTAGTGTAGAAAATAATATGCACAACGATGATGTTGAAAGTTTGTTTTCAAGACCCAGTCTGAAGATAACGATCTTTAAGTTCAGTTGGAACTTGAAAATTAAGCATTTGGCAAGACTCCTAAGCAAACTATTTCAGACATTA